TCATTTTTTATTTTGTTTACAACCTCCGAAGTTCGCTCACACGACGGCCAGCTCTCGACGCCGCGTTCCCGTCGATCACCCTATAGAATCCGTCTCTATCCGTTTCACCTAGAGATCCCACTTTTAGATGTGAATTAAAACGCACGCGATAACGCGTGTTACTTTCGTCGAACGTGTTAGAAGACTCTTCGAATTCTAACCCCTCGTTATTAAGTGAATCGCGCGTTAAGATATCATTATCTTGCAATTTCTAGCTTTCCTTTATAATCGTCGAATAAAAACAGCAAACAGTTGAAGAAGATTAAAGTTCGATTAAAGATTAAAGAAATGTTCTTTAACATCTTTGAAGGATTTCTTGGAATTAACCCTTTGCACTCGGAAGCTTTTCACTAGAAACATTCGATGTTTCCTAGAGAGACGACTGTTTGAAACTAATAAGAGAACATACGTCAATTAAGAAACAAAGCTGTTTTATATAGATATTTCATATATTGATGCATTATACGAGATTTAATACTATATATACCATTTTGTAATTTGTTACATCAAATCAAATAGTGACTGAGAGTCACTAGACCTAGACACTATTTGAAACTAATAAGAAAACATACGTCAATTAAGAAACAAAGCTGTTTTATATAAACGTTTCACACATTGACGCATTATATGAAACTTAATCAAACGGTGACTGATCCTCTCGAGTGCAAAGGGTTAAAAGCAGCCGTTTGACACCCGGTAAAAATAGACACATTTACACGCGTGACACGTGAAGTGGGGATCCATAGTTTCAACCCTTTTCGCTTGTTCTGCCTCCACGGTTTTATCTTCTTTCTTTCTTTTTCGTCCGGTCCCACGTTGTGTGCTGATCGCTAACGATACGAAATACGAATACGTTGTCCCCGTTCCCCGCGTCCTTTCCCCGTTTCGCGTCGCGGGACGATCGATATATACTCGCCGCGTCGATCCGCGGCCCGGAAGCGTGCCGAGCGGTTTGTTCACGTAGAAAATCGAATGCCCCGTTGTGCACCAATCTCTCCTCCCCCTCGTTTCGAGAACCGACACCCCGCAGTAACCGGCTGAAAGTTATGTTTGCAATCGATACTGTCGTTACCTCCGATCTGTCGTTGTGCCTTATTTAATGTAAGTTGTGTAAAATAAATTATTTGTAAAGTTCCCCGTCGATCTTCGATCCTTTCACCCTGGAAACCGATCTTAAATTGAAATCCTTCGATCGGTTCGATCGTTGTTCGTTCGGTGCCACGAGATGATCTTAGCGAAATTTTTAATTTAGTAGTTATAAACTAGATGAACCTACGCTGGAAGCTGGGGAAATTGGACTTTACGATTAATTGATAATAAGAAGATTGTTGGCTATTGAAAGAGAATCTACTCGAACGTACATGAAATTAAGATCGTGGCAAGCTGGATATTTCATTCGATTACGTTGGGAATTCCATTCTGCGTAGTGGTCTTCGATACAGTCGCAGATCGTTTGCTTCATGATAATCCTCTCAGATTGATAATAATTTAAATGGTAACGAAGATGTCTTGTGAACTGTTTCATCGACGTTCCGAGCTTCTTCTTCTGTTTTCGATTGTCCCGTGGAGAGGACTTTCACAGCGTGATGTACGTTCGTTTCCTGTGCATGACGTACGCGATCACCGTCCACAGGCCGACGCACCAAACGGTCTCCAACAAACGCAGCGCGCGGCTCTCCATGTTGCCGGTGCTCCAATGGAAGGGAAAGATTTGGTAGCAGAGCATGTGGCCGACGTACAACAGCAATCCGTTCATGCCTGCGAATGGTACATACTCGTGGTTAAAAACATTTTCATCCAAAGTGCTGAAAGACAGCTTTTACGATTTTGAGAATTACCTTTGACCCTTTGCACTCCGAGCAATTTTTAATACAACCTTTCGGCAACTCCGAAACAGTTTTAACCGTTTGCACTCGGATGTTTCTTACTAGAAATATTTAACATTTCTTTACGAAGCGAAGACGATGTTCTTTGAGATCAATTCGAAGAGAAATCACCAGTACATTAAGGAACAAAGCTGTTTTATTCCATTGTTTCACTTGTCGAGGCTTAATACAAAGTTTAACGTTAAATATCACATTCTATACATTTTAAAGTTATGTTTGATTGAAAATGAAGTCATAAACTTATCTTACAATGTCGCCGCAGTGGCGACAACAGAGTGCAAAGGGTTAAAATTCAATCGTTCCTCCTTTTCGTGCTTTTCCACGATAGTTGCAGAATTTATCGTTACTTCGGATGAAAAGAATGTTAACCCTTCGCACTCGAGGGATGACTCTCAGTCACCACTTGATTTGATGCAGTAATATTTAATAAATGCAGAAATATTTAATAAAAGACCTTTCTCAATTTACTTGTGCTTCCTCTTCGAGCTAATTTCAAAATATCGTCTTTGTCCTGTTAGAAGATGTTAAGTGTTTCTAACGAAATACTTCCGAGCGCAAAGGGTTAACGAGCTTCAATTTCGCGATTACTTGTATAATCGTTGGTAATCGAGATTGTTATGCGACACGATTACCGAACTGTTATCGGTTACGCAAGCACGTGAAAGTAATACGTACCCGGAATTCGAAAGGGGCCGCCGTTCCAGACTTTAACGACGTCCACGAGCAGGTAACACGCGGTCAGGAACGCGAGAGAGAAGGACGTCGTGACGAACACGAACGACAAGGACCTGAATGATAATGGAATCAGTCATTAATTACAACGGTATACCATTACGATCGACGTGCAATCAGTTAACTGTATATATCGATGCATTTACGGTGAATTAGAAATGCAAAATTTGCAGTTATCCTTTCAGCAAAGAAAAGTGGTAACAATTATTCAGTATCTGGCGTTACAATCTTTGCATCACACTAATATCAGCTTAGTTACGTTATTAAACATTTTAATACATCGATTATCTTGCATGTTAACATTACATTACAATCTTTGCATCACACCATTATCAACTTAGTTACGTCATTAAACATAATACATCGATTATCTGCATGTTATTGTTTTCAAGTGATTCAGAAGCATCCGTCATCGGTAATCGACGTTTAACGTGTCAACGAAAGAAGAATAAGAATATACTCTTCTTCGAATTATTCTCTCGTTCCGTCTTTCGTTCCGTTACCCACCACAATTTTTTATTAACCGGGATCACGTTGGTGAAATGCAGAGCGCAGCCGACGCAGCCGAAGAAAGCGGCCCACGCGAGCCACCTGATCACACGTTCCTTCCAGTCCTTGTACGACATCATGATTATACCGGCGTGCAGGCCGAGGAACACGTGGAACGTCGACGTGAGCGTGCCTTGACAAACGAAACACGTTTCAGTCGTGAACAAGCGATGGAACGCGCGCGATTCGCGGGGATCGTGACGACGGTACCAAAATGGCGTGGAACTGCAGTGACGCCGACGTTCCGTTTCGTCCAGAAACTTGTCTCGCGTTAACGCATCATTTACCGGTCACGAGTTAACTCGTGCTCGCACTAGCATTGGCTGTTTCAATTTTTGAAGTGCAGAGTGTTAAATATTGCAGAATGTTAAAATTTATTTCGAAGAGCCCGAAGTTTCGTTTCAATTCATTGCAATAGATATATTGAAGCTTATTCGGATTGTTTCACTTTCGTATTTAATTACAGGGTGCACATTAAAAGCGAGCGAGAATGCGTGGCCGAGAGATAGTTGAGCGTGACTTTTTCGAGCGAGACATTTTGAGAGTTGGCGAGTAACCCTTAGCGAGTCAGCGAGTTCTATTGAAATAAAGTGTTCTGCACATTTTTGTTATTGTTACTCAGTGAGTGTATCTTCTCTTTTCATTCCCTGCCACGGCAACACGTGGGATTTTGAACCCCTTGCACTCCGTTGACATTGTAAGACAAGTTTATAACTTCGTTTTTAGTCAAACGTAACTTTAAAATGTACACGCGCTTTTTCAATGACAAAGCAGGGCCTTAAATCTTTTACAGAGGCACTGAAGACTCGTGATAAAGATTTTCAACATGATTCGACAAATATATATATTACTCGGTTCATTCGAATTCAAAGTAAATATCATTCCTCCGTAATCAACTGTTATACATAAAAGGAAATATAGGTATAACATACGTTTAGAATTTTTCTGTTTTCAATAAATTATTTATAACAAAGTAGCCGTATCAGAGTTGAGAAGGAAATCATAGGCCAAGGGATTAAAACCGATTCGGAGTTGCTGATAGGTTATATCGAAAATCGCTCGGAGTGCAAAGGGTTGATAAACGAATCGTACGCTTCGTACCCAAGATTCCTTCCGGGTCGTACGGGCCGGCGTTGTAAACGGTGGCGGAGTGGTGCAAATGGGGTTCTTTGAGCACCGTTCTGTCTATGTAGCCAGCTGCCCCGCCGACGCAGTCATAGTGCTTCCCATCGTCGTGCAGACCGCCGGGACCGAGGTATCCGCTGACAATAATTCCTTTAATCACTTGGCGCGAAGAGGAGCGTTGCTCATCGTGTTATACGTACATACGTGGGACATCCGGGAACCGGTAAGCAGAAGGTCAGGGCGCAATGGACGGCGACTATCGACAGCATCACGCACCACTGCGGCAGCAGCATGAAGAAATCGTGCACCTCGCGCAGCAACGGCGACTGTACACGGATTCGTTCGGAATTATTACGGAGATCGAACTGAAATCATGATTCTTTAACCTCTTAGGCACGACGCGCCACTATAGTGGCTTCCGCGGATGTCATCTTTCTGAACGACGCGCCACTATGGTGACTCCGTCGCTACCGATGTATCATAGATCATACCCAATTGTATTACTAATTATTAAAGTAAATTGTTAAAGTTAAATTGTTAAAGTTAAAATATTCAATGCTTTTAAGATATCAATAATTGCGAAACAAAATCGAAACCAGTCATTTTCACTGGTACGTAGTTCTAGTGTTAACATTGCACATTTGGAATTGTTTAGAATAAACAGAAACACTTGTGGGAGGAATATGGTGGAAATTTGATTCCAGCTTTCTCAAATTTCAAGGTGTTCTTGGGAAACTAAGATGGTAGCTAAATTGATACAGATCGAATGTACATAATGGTGTTGACCCATTGCTCTATGATTTATTTCTTAACTATAATCAATGCAACTACTTCATCGTTAATAGGGTTAAATTATATTTAACCCTTATGAACCCTTTGAACTCTGTAGACTCCACTATTGCGCCAGTTATAATATCAAATATTTCAATGAATTTTAAAGAAACTACCCTAAAATTATTAGATTTTCCATGCATCAAAATTTTGTACTGAGAAGGAAAATAAAAGATTGAAGGAATGTTATCGCATTTTTCATTTTCACTAGAGATACTAAGGGTTGAAATAACTGGAAATTCGAAGGGAAATGAGACTCACGTGCGACTTCGTTGACCTCTTGGACATCAAGCAAAGGTAGGTCAAGGCGACGACGAAGTAAGTTATCCCGAAACGTTGGAGGACACCGAATATACGGATCGTCTCGAGCCGAGGACCTGGAGCAGCCGTGTTCAGCGACACGCCGATTAAAAACAGCAAGACGCTCCTCTGTTGATAAATACGGATCAATGACATTCATTATTTCCTCTGTATTTCAACGTTTCGCTTCGTCTTCAACTGAATTCTTGATTTCTCTGATTAGACAATAGATAACAGCGAGGCGATAAACTCCCTCGATTATCGCCTGAGTAAAGAATATTTGGAATAGCACAGTGACAATCAATATTCCGAATACCAATGGTATAATTAAACAGCGATCCGATAAGCACATCGGCGAGAGAGCTCAATTAACGATATAATTAGAGATTAGATAAACGGATGTTAAAGATGCGCGTATCTGATCGTGTCGAGCGAAAGTGTGTCAGATAAAACTGCAAAACAGAGGATCCCGCCACTTGACATAATTTCGTCTGAACGTAAACAATCTGGTATCGTGATTCGGAATAATCCTGCCCTTTGCCCTCCGAAAGTTGTCAACCGAAACTTCGAGGAACAGTTGAACGAAATCCCTGATCGAAGGAAAAGAAGAAGCGACAGAAGTGAAAAGAAACGAATTGGACGCGTAACCTTGACGATTCCGTAGAAGATGGCGGTCCTCGACGTCATTCGCTTCATCTGGCTGCCTAAGGCTATGGGGATGCACACTCCCATGATCCATATGAAGCAAGGGAAAACCAAGTCGCCCAACAATAACCCGTTCCAAGTGGCGTGGCCGAGGACCTTGTAACCACCGGAGCCGCCATTCACGAATATCATCAATAATGTGCTCGCTCTGTAACATCGGAACCCATGGAGATGTCATTACACTCGCATCTCCTAGAATCCTTGAATCCTTCAATCTTCATCGAAATTATTGTATTTAATAAAATCGAATTACTATAGTTCACTCAATTAACCCTTTGCACTCGGAAGTTTTTCACTAGAAATATTTTAACATTTTCCGACGAGATAAAATCGATATTTTGTGAAACTAAGTCGACGAGAAATCACGTACATTGAGGAACAAAGCTATTTTATTTGAATATTTCTCGAAATGATGCGTTATAGGAAATGTAATATTAAATATCAAATTTTATAGTTTTACTGTATGAAATCAAGTGGTGAGAGTCGCCTTTCGAGTGCAAAGGGTTAAATGATTATTTGAAAACATTTCTATATTATAAATAATGCTAGCTAATGTGGCGACATTCAGCTAGATGCAATAATAACAATGCAACTCAATCGAATGATTTAATATTATACTTCTTCCATTTCGAGTATTCTGTACTATTTAATCGTGCGGCACTCAACGCGTTAACAATACCGATGAAACATTACGAAAAACTGACTGTACATTGAACGAATTATTACAATAAAATAGCTTCATTAGGATTAAAAGGAAAACTTCAGGACAACTCACCCTCGGACTGTGTCGATCGCCTTCACGCGACGTTTCGCGGTTTGCTTCTTCGCCTCGTCCGCGGGATGTTTCGCGCATTTCTTCCGGAACAGGTGCCATAGCGACTTGAAACTTGACAGGCCGAACAGGGCGATGATCAGCACACCGAAGATAACGAAGAATTCTAGAAAAAATTGGAAACGATCGATAGACGAGTGAAAAATCAGTTGAAAACCGGCTTGTGTCTGATGAAGTAGTGCCTATGGAACGTTCGTCTAGAAACGGAGAATCTCACCATCGACGTTAAAGAGAGAAAAATGCAATTGAGAGGACAGAATACAATTTATATAAGCATTCTACCTGTGTAAGCATACGTGGGTCCTTTCAGAACCGTGACATCACAGCTTCCCGCTCCAACGGACAGCTCATAAACGCCGAACTGGCCGAGACTCGGCGTCAGCTCGCAAATCACGTTGCTGGAATGCGAAAACGCAGTTTCTGAGAAAGGCCCGCAGATAGACGCAGGAGTGTGCGACACAAAGAGACCATCGAATCGTCCGATCTACCTGGTGTTCTTCGCCGACAAATATTCGCTGGGATCCTCGGCGTCGAGGACCCTCAAAGTGGACGGCCTGATGGTGTCGATGGTCACGCTGGAACTCGAATTCGTTACGAACTGCTTGATACGAGTGTACGGACACTGGAAAGTACATAGACACCTACGTTACAAGTATGTACATCATCAAATTGTTGAATCGTTCGTACCGGTCAGCCCAAGCAAATCGAATTACTATAATTCACTCGATTAAACGATTATTCGGTCGAATGATTTATATTATATTTTTCCCGTTTTCTGTATTTTGCTCTATGAAACCGTGCGGCGTTCAACTATTCACAAGGAGAGCAATTCATAATCATTCTATATCTACGTTTACTTTAAATTACGATCAATTGCAAAGCGATGTCTCGTTTGAATTCAAAGGGATTAGATGACACGATTAAGTCTGCAACCTTCGTCGCATCGCACGATGTTGCAGAGGGTGAGCCTCCTTGCGTCTCGTAGACCCAAGAAAATTCAGTTTCGTCGATTAACTCGCGAGCAACAAATGAATTTGCCAAGCTAACTTGCATCAGCGAAACGACGGTCGAAGCGTCGGAGAATCTCACCGCAGCGCAGTCCGAGGACAGCCAATAGAGCCACGCGTTCAGATCCTGCTGGTCCTTTCGCAGGAGCAGGCAGGCCTCGTCGAATCTCAGGCTGTCCTGGTCGCAGACGTCCGCGGCGTCCATCGTCGTCGACCAGTGGAACGGCTGCAACCGAAATGAATGCACGAACGAACGCGTCACCGTCGGGACGCCGAGGTCGCGAGAGCTCGACTCGGGAACCGTTCGAATGGCGCGCGAGGACTCGCGCCGAGACACTTGCCACGCATCCTTAATCGCGGCGTGAAACGTTCAGCGCGGCCGTCGCGTCGGAGAAAGTAGAACAGTCGAAATTGGAATTTGTGCTCCGCGGGTTTCCGATTTCGCGGAGTTTCACGTTCGAATCGCGTTATCTCTCTATCCCTCCGACTTAGGCTCTGACAGCTGCGCTTGACGGAGCTACTCGAAGCGAATAATTTCTCGGAGACAGAGAGAAGTTTCATACTTCCATATCTACATCAGCTGTACGACGCAACGTTCCAACCGAGCTCGAAAGAATTTGTTACATTCTGTTTAACGCGTTGAATGTCAAATCAAATAATTCACGCAATTACACGATGATTATTTGGAAACTTTTCTGTGTTATAACTGGTATCATCTAATGCAATGGCGTTCAAGATAAACGTGCAATTAACGCGATTCAATTCAATAATTCAATGTTATGTCTTTTGATCGTTTCTACGTGAAATCGTACGGCGTTCAACGTGGTAAGAGAAGGGGTGAAACATCTACCGGGTAGACACCTAAACTCTCAATGGATTCGCAGGGCAATTCAGCGCTAACCCTTTAACACGATGAATGCCGCACGATTTCCGGTGGCAAAATGCACAAAATGAGCAACGTAATATCAAATTATTGCAATATAAGAGTTTTTGCAAATAATGATCAGTTGACTGAATTATAATAATTCGATTTGGTCGGAGTCACCGGTGACCCCCACGGCATTCAACGTATTAAATTATTTTCAATTTTATTTTCTTTAATTTCATTAGTGGCAGCTTTAAAGCAAATACTAGATCGCTCGACGATTAAACGAATATTATACTCTTTATACTCGAATTTCTATTTTCAGTCACTAATTCGCTACCAATACGGTATCAGTCCACTACCAATCGACACTATAAAACTGGAAAGACACCTTTCACCCCTGTTCCGCTCGTCGAGCCATCGCCCGAACGTAGACACTAGATTAACATTGAACGTCGAATTCTGACTCGACGCGACGAACCACTACCATCTGCGAGCATACGCGATCGCGAGTAGAAATTCACGAGAAACATCCTCACCAAAGGGAAACCGCTTCTGGAACTGGAGGAGTCTCGTCGCGCCCTGCAGATGGTGATCGAAGATGGCGTAGGAGGATCAGGGTGCCGCGCACCTTCGCGAATTCCGAGGAGGCTCGAGCGACTATGATCCCGCGGCTCGGCTAACGGTACCGGTGTTTACCCGCGAGAAAACGATTCCCCCGATCGAAATATTATCTTCGCATCGTTTGCGATTCGGCCGCGGCTCGCGGCGCGGCTGCCGAAGTGGCACGACAGCTTTCCGAGATCCGCGAGAGCAACACGCGCCGCGTCGAATCACGTGGGTGCATCGGCTGACATTTCACCTGGCATTCAACAGGTGAGATTTCGCCGCGGTTGCCACCTTCTAACGCGCGCTCGCGGCCGCTTTCCTTCCGACAGCCTTGGACTGTATTCATTAACACGCTCGCCGGCAGCGTCGCATATTTGTCGCGGCGCAATCTTGCGTTTCACGTGGGACAAGTGAGATTGATCTTATAGATATCGTTGTTTAACACGCTGAACGATATCATGGAGCAAAATACAAGATGGAAGAGATGATATCGAATCGTTTGATCGAACTGAATTATTGCACGTTCATCCGGCTGAATGTCACCGCAGGTAACACTGTTTATAATGTACCAATGTTTTCAGATAATCGTCGTTTCATAGTGAACTATAGTAATTCGATTTGATTGGGGGGCAACGTGTTCACCCTTAGCACTCCAGGTTGTTTTGTAATCTATCGGCAACTAATTTTTATAGTATTCGGAGAAGTTGGAGAATCGAATAATTTTAGGGTAGTTTCTTTAAGATTCATTGAAATATTTAATGTTATAACTGGTGCAATATTGGAGCCTACAGAGTTCAAAGGGTTAAGAGTGTATTAAAACCCAGAGAGTATTGCTCATTAAACCTCCCCTACACAGTGCACACATTGAAAATCCTACGCATTTGAATAGGAAACATTCGACGCGACAATAGATAACAGGGAGAGGGTTCGTTCTGTGAACATGTTGTTGCGTTTATTCTTTTATTTATTTTATTGGTAGGCTTGATTTGTTACCCACATGACGATATAAATCCAGATGAAAGTATAACGGCGAGAAGATGCTTGAATCATTGTATTGTTACTATAATATATTCAACCCCATGGATTAGTCTTTGATCTCCACCTCATTCGCCGTATACTCTTGCTCTTAACTATCGTTGTATTCCTATTTCTTGCACTACAAAGTCGTGTTCGCCTTGAACAGGTAACACTGCTGGAACAGAATATTCTTCTGTGCTGTGTATGTCACAGGATAATTGTATATCAAACTCCGAACTTCCTCGTCGGAGTCTTCGAACCTCTGCCTATTCTTGCGTGCTGTACACAAAAGCGTTGTATTACTGGCCAGCGTGTTTCCTTGTAAATCGTACATATTGAGAAAAAATGACAGAGGAAAGAGTAGTAATCTTCTGTTTATACTATTTTGTTAGATACGAAGGTGACCTTCATTTTTTTCAATGGAATACTGTATATTCTCTTATATTTATATAAATTCATATATAAATTCATCCGTATACTGCAGTGACCTTCAAGGTCACGCAAAGTCAGAAATGTCTACCTCTTCCTCTCATTTTCTTTTCTAATACTTACTATTTACAAGAATTCAAATTTTACTCTTTAATCAATTGTTATACTTAAGAGCGAACACAAGCATAGAGTATTTCTACAGTTTCTCTCTTTCTCCAATGAATTATTAATGACATAGATCAACGAGCTGTACGAACCTTCGTTCACGAAGAAATTGGCGAAGTACTGGGCAACTAGCACCGCCTTCTTATCGTGCGGAATGCCTCGACCCTCGATCCACTCGTACAAATTCTTCTCCGGATGAAACTGTACACCGAAAAACGGATATTCCGTCGACTCCACTGAAGAAACGAAGGTTGTGCCGTTGGCTCTGCTCGTCGACAGCACCTTCAACTTGTTCGCTATACCGACACGCTTCAACCCCTACAATTGCAGATACACCGTGTAGACAACCGTTGAAAACGAAGATCTTGTAATCTGTTGATCAGCTTCAATTAACCCATCGCAAGCGAGGGCTATACTTTCATTAATAAAAAGAAACGTTATTAGTACGCATTTATTTGTTTACTCTTCAGTAATATTCAATACACTGAACAAAAATGACGTAACAGTCTAGATAACGTGTACGTTGATTTTATGTGCGATCTTTCGTAACCTGAACAAGCGTTGAAAATGAGAATTTAATCGAAAGATTCATTATAAATCAAACTTTATGAAACGTTTAATTACAATCGAACTGTTATACGTGTAGGAGAAAGTTCAGGCCGACGTCCTCGACAACGTATTTCAAGGTCACCGAAACCAGCGAGGAAGATCTAAATATTTATCTAAAATTCTTCCCCGCTTAAATCAGCTGCAACCTCTTTATCGGTTGAGGATTAACGTATCTAAATCTCAGAGAGGAATGCTCGAAAGAATTTACCGCTTTCGTGACGCAGAAGTGATGGAAGTTGGCTGTTACGTTCTTCGTTTCCAGGATTGTAACGAGGTCGTCTGTTATGGCTCGGTACATGTTACTGTCTCGATAACCTGGAAAATCGGCGAGCTTAACACACTACTGACCGGCAGTTTTACGAAGAAGCTATCCCGTGTCACCGGTTATAATTCCGTAATTAAATATGGAAGTGAGATAATCTAAAGAAACTTCAATATACTTTATTTATACATAATGAATTCGAATATTCGAATATTTTGCTTTTGAAGTAATCTATGTTGCCCCGCGCTTTAAAAGTTGAAACAGCTAATGCGAGTGCAAGCACGAGTTAACCCTTTGTACTCTGAAGTTTTTCACTAGAAATATTTGAACATTTCCCGATGAGATAAAGATGATATTTTGTGAAACTAAAAGACGATTAAGATACATAATCGTGTAACCGGACGAATGAAAATCGACGTAAACGTTCATAGGATACGAATGTATCTGTTTACGATTAATTTTTACAGTTTCTATGGTTCCACGTGGAACACGCGTGTTCCATTCAGACGTATACTGTAGGGTTAATGTTGCAAACGAGGCGAACGTACTCACCATCTTCAAACTTTAAAGGAAGCGATATTCGCTCGGCATTGCAGTTGTCTCGGTCATCTCGACCGTCGGCGGTCAGGTACGTCAACAGTTCGAATCCCAAACACACTCCGAGGATTGGAAAGTGATTTCCGTTATCGTTGAATCGTTTCGCAATTCTACGAAATAAATGGTTCTTCTTTTAAACTGATTCTACCGATTGGTGAACAGGTACGCTAGTCTTCGGGAACGAACGGTGTCTCGAATATCGATTCCAGTCCTATTTTTTACCGATTCAATCGCAACGAGTAGAAAATTTATTTACTTGTATATCTTCTTTCCCGCGTCGGCGTAGCCATGCTTTTTATTGAAAGTCGAGGCTCCGCCGGGCCACAGAACCCTGTCGAATACATTGACCAATAAATAGACTCGAACAGGTGTGCCGTTTACCGTCTCTTTTTAAATCTAACTCACCCGTTTATCTTCCGCATGATATCCTCATAATAGTCGTTGCTTTTATTAATCCTGCGTGAAACGGTGTTCCCGTGCATTGTAAGAAATTGGGTATGCGTTAACATTGAAACATCGATACGCTGTCTAATACGATCCAACGTTAACCGTTCGAGTGGCCAGCATTCTAATGATTTTTACCGGGTTTTCGGAGAAACCCGTGGCACTCGGACGGTTAACGCGTTCAGTGTCACGTGTACCACATGTATGCGTTACAAGGTAGCGAGAACGTGAAAGAACAATATCAAGATATATCAAAATTACCAGAAACTTGATTTTTTAAATAAAATATTAAGTTATATTGAACTTCAAGTAAAATACAACCGAAATTTCCGTGGCACGATTACACTTACCAAATCGGCACGACCCTCGCGCCGGCACCCTCGACGAATTTCACGTAGGACGCAGCTATGTAGCTATTATATTGATTCTCGTATCGTCCATTTACATATTCCGTTACCTCTTGAGACAGAACACCTTTTACAGAAACACGATAACGAAATATCAATCGGACAAGCACTCGTTAATCTCGTCGCGCGATGATAGGATGAAACATCTATCAGGGCGAACATTGCGTTAAATGCACGTCGACAATTAGTATTACTCGTTGGAGGACAGAAACTCCTCTAGAATTTCATTCCCGATTTGCGAGAGACTCGCGAATGAAAGCAATCAACATTCCTCTATTGTGTTAGCTCGTAACGCGAGCGTTATCTGTGCGCACGTATCCGTTTATCGTTCTACGAAATGGAAACTCACCGATTATCGGCCGATCGTTGCTACCAGCTTTCTTCCCGGAGACGACGACCAGGAAGGACGCTAAGATCAGGATGGCCGTTGATCTCGTTGCAACCATGGCGGACGGCTTCGACGCTCGATTACCTACGCAAAACTGATCGACGAACTTGAATACCGCTAGATTTATATATCGTCGACGGAACGGAAAGTTCCATCGAAACAGTAGTCGATGGAACAAAGTCCTGCAATTAACCCTCTGACATGGCTGCCACGGGCGAGCAGCGAATTCTAGGAAAGCTGCATAACCACGGCAACCGTATCTTTGCATTTTTAAAGGCAGATTTAAATACAAACGAGGCTTGTCCGTAGATTTAGGACAGCATCGTTTGAATGACAGCGATGTAAAGGTACGGTTTTGTTGATTAACCCTCTGGCATGGCTACAATGGACGATTAACGAATTTTAGGAACCGTATCTTTGCGTTTTCAAAGGCAGATTTAAATAGAAACGAGGCTCATTCGAATGACAGTCATGCAAACATTCTTAAAAAAATTTTTTTAGCGCATAGAAATTTCAATCGTGATGATCACTTGCAAAGATTTCGTATACTCTCGTCCGTCCTTCATATTATTTTCGATTTACCAATGTTAAAGTAATAATAAACTAAAGTCGGAACCAGAGTCCCTCTGCGACTACGTCTCAGTCTCTATAGACAATTTGTCGCCGTTTTCTCTTAGAAACGATAAGCGTCGAGACTGTCATTTCTGTCAACATACGGACGATGATCTCATGCGAATCTATGAGTTTGATTTGTCGCTTTATCGCTTTTGATTAACGAGAGAATGTTTATTCTGCATTATTTATTTCTGATGAATTTAAGAAGTCGAATCGCATACCAGTTTCGCAATTATCGATCCTGAAACGAGATCGGATTAGGACCGGATGTACCAGTGACATTCAAATCTCCCGCGAAGAATGAGCTTTCAACCGGAAATCTCCACGACTATCAGGTCCGCCATCTTCAGGACACCATGCGTCTTTCACTTGTCGCATTTTTAGAGAATAATTGTACAGGGTACAGCTAATGATCATCCTTTAATTAAGGTGTCTTAATGTGCTCTTAATTTACTTTATGATGAAACTTGATGAATTTTATAGTTACCCGATCCAGTAGACTTCCCGAGATTCCGAGACTTTTCACAACCGCTTCAGGTCCCGACAGGCAACCGTCTATGCTGCAGCGTACGAAGTTCGAACACGAAGGAAAACTAAACTGAACGATTATTTATCGTGAATGCAACTGATAAAATGTCACAACAATTGATACAGTAGCAACCTTTATCGGTCACTTACTTAACCTTACAATCGAAAGGAACGAGTCGATTCATCACTTACATTTAATCTCATCTATCGACGTTTCTCTTTCTTTTTTCAATTAACAGTTTCACTTCAGTACAGTATCATATCTATACTATTACAAGCAATGTTACTGTCACATTTATTCCAGCAAATATTTGAATCGTATTAATTCTACTCGTCTTAAGTAATGCCTTTGTCTCACTCGGGAAATCATTCGATTGAGAGGTTAATGAATATTTAATATGCGAACAAAAAGATTTATCCAAAAAAAATGTAATATAGAAAAAGATCTTTTTCTAAAATTATTCAAGAGCGTTGTGAATGAGTCGTGTTTTTGAAATTCTTTTATTTCGGTGCTAATTAAATTAACATATACAATATACAGATGATTCTAGTGATTAAGCATCGCTAAGCGTATGCAGGCTGACGAAATCGTGAATTAAACTTGATATGTACTGTTTGAAGACTAATTTTTCATCATTCATGATGTAGATTATGATTTGAACTTTTATATGTCGTATGTAACATTGTTACACATGTCTGTATAAAAGCGTACGCGGTAGTATATTTTTTACGAAAAACTAAATGGAGGTCACCTGATAAAATTTTATTACGATTACATTGTTTTAAGTAGTTACTTTTCATAGCGTCGATTTCAGTAATTCTATATGCAGTATTATACGTTCACATATGACGCAGACTATCATTTTTTGTTGTTCGCATTTTTGCAATTACGAAAGGAATGTAACCATGTTTTTGTATATGCTCTCATACTCGATCAAGATGTGTCTAAATCAAGACAAGTATAAGTTAATATTAATAATTTATACATTGCAATAATGTTCAACATTAATATTGTGAATCTATTTATTTTCCTACGTGATAAATAAATTAAATTCAAGAGTGCCTCTCTCTCATCAACTTAATATTTAAATGGTGCAATTATTCTTTGAACAGTGAAATTATATGTAATAAAAATATCCATGCAATAAATCCATTTCTTTTTGTCTAATATTATTAATCTTAAAATACATCCTTTCGTATAATATATGTGTATGTATATATTATATATGCTTTAGTCGTACGCAATTGAGATTAATATTCAATAAATCGTGGACTTTCTCGATAAGATAACACCTACACTCAAACGGTATCAATGTCACAAACTTTTCTAGCAAAATCGCTGTATTAATGTCAATATGAGTATCAATGTCAACGTTTCAATTTACAATTACAATACTATAAATAATGGCATAAGAAACACGGCAAGATTTGAAATGTACGTTAACATTCAAACGCTACCGACGTTTATAAACCATAAAAAGTATTTTAAAATTACGTTTACCACTGATCATGACACTCAACTATTTCTTTTGCCCAGCAATGACGAGACGTAAACGCTACACATAATATGTAAATGTATAGCTTTTGTATTGCAACGTTATGTCCTTCGATTTTATCAATTCAAAGTCATACCTATATGCAGAATTAAATTCTTGCTCAGACTCATCATACACGCTACTGCAATCAATCCAGTATCAAATAATTTACAATTCGAGTATGGGATAAACAGCTTAAATGGTCCATGTAAAAATTTATGGTGGACCAAGATGTTTTACAAATTTGGATGCGAAGATACATAATATATCATTATCTATTATGCGCGATATTCTTCATTTCATCCAATAATAACTACACACGTGTAAATACAATATACACCTATCTACAACAAAATTCTATTCAAATATGTGGCGCTGCTATGCTCCTTGCATTTCTTGTATTTTCTTACAGGAGGGTGTGTCAATATTTCTAGCTTTCAAAAATAATTCTTGGTCCTGAAAGTTTCTTGCCTTCCATAATAAGGTTTCTCCTAAACATTAAAAGCCATTTATATTGAATATCTGAAGATATATTACTTTCCGGGTACTATAAAACCCACTACTCCCGTCTTATCGAAGTTCAAACAATAAACTATTGAGTATATATACTTACTGTAACTTTTTTCTCTATAACAGGCATGTCTCAAAGTATTCAAGTATTCCTCTTCAACAGAAATTTCTAGTCTACGTAAGCTGCCTTGATATTCAGTGTGAAAGTTTTCTTTGACATAGTATGGCACCCTTAATCCTTGAGTTGTTCTCAGTACAGAATATTTTCTGCGCACAAATTAAAATGTGCATATAATCACTCTCACACAAACCATTCGCTAGCTTTAATATCTAGTATATACCGGAGATTACAGCCGAGAAAGTAAAGCACAAGCAGTAAAATTGAAACATTCCATGAAAGTATTAATTAAAACTAATTTATTTGTCATTATTTCTTATAAATATTCAGCGTATATCCTGAAGACACTTACGCGTTAGAATGCAAGCTATATACAGGATCTGATATAAAGAAACTGCTCATCATAGTTAACAATATTAATAACAGTACAGGCAACATCTGAAGGAATGTGGTGTACCCATTTGCTTGCTGAAATTACAATTTTTTTAATGTTAACCAACATAAATGATACTCAATGAATATTATATATAAATGTTTCAATTCTATACCTGAGAATGAGTATGTTGGGCCTGAACATCCTGTTGTCTCATCCATCTTCCACCAGAACGTCTCATATAAAACTCCTGTTGTGGAAATCCACCACCAAAGAACATATTGAACAATTCTTCTGCAGTAATGTCAGCTGCAAAGAATTTGTTAAATTCAAATATTTATTAACAATAATATTTAAGGTAAAATTTTGGAAAGAATATAATTAATATATGTAGGAGAAAGAGAATTTTATTAGAAATAATAAAATTATTTCTTGATATTTCTAGATTTCTAGTCATGTCATTCATCTATTGCACACACATTCATCACTCATCAAATATATCTATTCACATACTCAAATACATTCATTCCCACATATATTTTGAACGTACTTTCAAATCCTCTTGTATAGTTGTAATGCGCATGGTTTTGACGGCCTTGGGCATTCTGAATTCTTTCTTCTTCTGGGCCATACATATCATATTGTTTTCTTTTCTCCACATCAGTAAGAATGGCAACAGCATTTCCAATAGCTGTACAAAATATGTATTACATATATGTAAACCCACTCTAGCTTTTAAATACATGAAAAATATAATACATCCAACAACAATTACCTTTAAAAGCTTCTGCAGCACCTGGTGCTTTATTTTTATCTGGATGTAACTGAAGTGCTAACTTTTTATATGCTTTTTTAATGTCACTATCAGTAGCATCTTTGCTTATACCCAAAATTTCATAATAATCCTTACATTTTTTAATCCTATAATCAGATATATTAAGCTTATTGCAATGATGTCAATTTTTAAGTATCTTATACCCATTTTTTAGAAATCTTTGTACACCATGTGCAAAATTATGAAATGACAGTTATATTATGTGATAATTTTATGTGTTATATACATTAAATAGTGAATGCTATACATACTTTTATTTTAATAAGTATTTAAAACCATACACACATAATGTAATGTTCTATACAAAATTGATTCTGCTTAGTTCTTTGACTTTCATGTAAATATCTCTAATATATCATGAAAGTTAATTAAGTGTTGTACCTTTTAACATATTCAAGTTGTTCCTTAGTATAATCAGTAGAAGCTTGAGTATATGAAGCTTCTTTAGGTGCTGTTTGACGTTTTCTAACAGTAGGTTCTGACTCAGACTTTTGATTTTGTTTCAAAAGCATTGTCACTTTTGCTAATACATCTGTGAATATAAGCGATTTTACATCAAAGGTGTTCCACGATTTAACACGACCGCATAATTTTCATTTCTCGTATTTTCATACAGATTTCTTTTATCGAGCAAGTTCAATGATGCGCGAAGAAAATTACACTTATACGCTATCGGAATGAGCATGTAATTATAGCAAAATTTACCGATGGACATCAAACTGATTTTTTCGAAAACGAAGAAACGACATTTCACGAGTGGCTTGAAACTTTGCTAGTTGTACGCGAAACTACGGGACACATTTTACAGTTATGACATTAAAGGATCAATAATTACATGTACATAGAACAAAGACCTACACGAAAATTGATTAACGAGTTACATACAAAACACTGACGTGGACTTTCTATTGTTCACTTACCTTCCGCTTTTTTTGTTGGATAAAGTTTCTGTGCTTTACGGACAAACTTTTCGGCCTCGTCATATTTTTTTTCCCGAAGATATCGTTCCGCGAGTTCCATGCACCGTTCGGCTTCATCTTTATTGCTGTCCATGATTTTTTCTCAGAGGCCGAACTAAAATTTATCCCTGCACAATGACGAGGCAGAATAGTAAATAAATTCAATCACTCAACTCTTAATTCTCCGCCATAGCAATTTAATAAGTTATGTCATGAACATATTGTAACGTAGAATGTACCGTTACTATGAATAATGTGTCATAGCGCCATCGACAATGCATCATTTTAACAAAATCGTCTGAGTTCACTACCAGGGGGCTAGGAATGATAATTGCAATTACAGACTTAAGATACGTACAGACTTTGCTACTTATGGGAATTTTTGTTCATGGCTATGAACACTGTACTGATTGTCATTTAAAATTTCAATATTTCTAATTCTCATTCCTATCACTTACAGCGCTGCCATGCAAAACCAGTCTGAGTCGATATGGCGGGTTGTGACACGAAAATGATAAGGGGGTCCTATGACCCCCGAGAGCGTCTGACAAAATGTTGTATGTTATGTCTATCTTATACTTCGTCTGTGATTGTGGTTACAATTTTACTTGAAACGAAATTTAAAAAGAGCGCGTTCAAAAGATGTTCAGCTGATTTACATTTCCATGATGGAGTAGGTAGAAAGTTAAACATTTAGAAACCACGCTTGAGGGCGAGATTGTATGCACGTGTACATAAAAGCCGACATGGTGTTATATTTTAATAATAAATATTTTATTGTGATTAAAACAATTTTAGTGAACTTACATTAGTATAATACACGAATAGAACTGGATATAAATATTAAACATTAATCAGATATTGAAATAATTTCCAGGTTAGTCACAGTTTACTGTTGGTTATGTTAATGTTATGGATTCATTGATGTTAGTTACATTTAATAAAATGCAATATTAATAAAAATCAAAAAGAAAAGAATTTTATTTTTTTATGCATTAGATTATACATTTTTATTTCTTTTTATAGATATCGCAAAATGGGTAAAAGAAAAGACAATGCTGATATTCAATTGAATGTCAAGAAACTGAAAAAGTCACCAAAGGTAGTTAATAGCAATAATATTGCAAGTAACGAAATTAATATTTCTGTAGATGATAAGCCTACAGTTATAAAAGAGAAAAGAGGAAAGTATGAGAAACCTTTAAAACACGTTAATAAGGAGAATCGTAAACATGATGCAAAAAGTGAAAAGGAGAACCAGAAGGGAACGAATGAAAACTCTAATCAAATGGAAAAACCCAATTGGATGGAAATTAAAAAGCAAAAGAAGGATCTACGAGAAAAGTATAAAGCAAAAAAATTAAATGATCTGTACGAAATATCAATAAAAGCGAAACAGATCGGTGAAAAGTTACGTAGATCGGATTGTAAACTGTTGGAACGTAAGAAATTAATTTTACAAGCTCATGACTTATTGAAATCTCATTATAGTAAAGTAATGCTTACACATGATTTATCTCGTATTATTCAATGGCTGATCAAATACGGCGACCAAAAAATTCAAAGAGATGTTTTTAGCGAATTGAAGCCTTCGATCACAGAAATGATCTCGTCAAAATATGCAAAGAACTGTGTAAAAAGTATATTAAAATATGGACCTCGAGATATGAAACACGAAGTTATTTCTGCTTGTTATGGTAATGTTGTGAAATTCATGAGTCACTCTGTATCTGCACCCCTGCTGGATCTTATGTATTCAAAATATGCGAAACCTATAGAGAAAATATACTTTAAACAAGAATTTTATGGCGATATGTACAAACAAGCCAAGGACAAAGAAGTTAAATCTTTATCAGACATATTTAAATCTGCAGAAAATATGAAACCGGCAACGTTATCCGCTGTGAAAGGAAATCTAATGAGGATATTAAATAAAAATCTTTTACACTTCACGTTTGTACAATGTATCCTTTTAGAATATTTAAACGAATGTTCGTCTGAAGATAGATCAGAAATGATAGCTATGTTGAAAGATTCTGTAGTGGAATTATCTCAAACCAAACCTGGTTCAAAAATTATTACACTGTGCATATGGCATGGTACAATTAAAGATAGAAAGATGATAATGAAAGCTTTTAAGGAAAATGTAAAGACTGTCTCCATGTCTGAGCATGGACATTTAACATTACTAGCTTTATTTGATTCGGTAGATGATACTGTCCTCGTAAAGAAAATCATACTTTCAGAAATTCAGAATGACTTAACAGATATAGCGTTAAATGAACACGGAAAACACGTGATTTTGTACTTAGTAGCTAGAAGAAATCCTCGTTATTTCCATCCTAGTATAATTACATACTTACAACAAGGAGATAATAATGCAGGAAGCAAAAAGTCTGCAGATATTCGGGAAAAAGAGTTGTTAGAGGGAATTTCTGATTCACTACTCGAAGCTATAACAAAGAACACTGCAACGTGGATGTCTAACAGTTCCAGTGCAATGGTAACATTGGCAGTTTTGAATGCAGGTACTGGAGAAAAATTGAAGCAAGCTTTTGAAGCCATTGCTAAGTACATCACAGACTCGGACGTCAAGATTAAAGAAGAGGATGTCGAATATAAGGCTGTCGAACATTCAGGTTTACATATGGCATTGAAAAAACTTATACAAGACAATAAAAAATTACGAGAGAAAAACGAAACTACATTTGGAGAAATATTAGTTGATCATTTGGAAGCGAACATCATAAAAGAATGGATAAAATTCAATAGAGGTTGCTTTTTGTTAGTATTGTTGTTGGAGAATGAAACAGAGTCAACTGTAAATACACTATGCTCTAAATTGAAACCAATAAAAAATTCTTTGAAATCCGAGACGAGTCCAGGGGCTAAAATTTTACTTAAAAAATTGAATTAAATGAAACTCATTTTAGTAATCATGCATAGTGCATTAACTTGTTCTCTATTGGTTGCACAATTGTGAATTCTACAGGATGCTTGTTTTAAAAGCAGCTGCAAGAATGTCAAATGTAATACCAATAAATTGATTTCCTGCAATTTTATTCGCAATATAAATACTTACAATTATTCAGTCAAATTTTGTGATCATTCTTGGTTTAGCATTCGTTTCTTATTTGTCTCAAATATAAATTACTGCTTATGTAAAAATGATAGGTAATACATATAGTAATTATTTATGTATTCCACATTACTTACCTACAAGGTATGAGAAAATATGCTAAAAACATGTATATACAAGTTTCGCAAATTCAGAAAGATTTTAAAACGAAATCTTTTATAAGTATATTAAATATTAAAATGCTCATGAACTTTGTAATTTGTGTAATATATTATTCGTACAGAACTCATAAGGCGACAGATATATATATAAATATACATTTTCCTATCTTTTTACAATACAATGTAAAAAAAACAGGAAACCATAAAAATATCAGTACCGAAGTTAGATTTAAATTACATATTATTAGACAATGGTTATTACTGTTAATATATACGAGCCACAATTCTAATAAACTGTCATTAAACCAATCTTGATAAATAATACATTTTTTTTATTACTATTATTTTGATGTTACTTAAAACAAAATTGTCAATTATCAACACCATTTAGATTAGATAGTAGTTCAATTTTCACAGCTTAAATATTTCCTTGACGTCCACAAGCCTGATTAAAATTTCTGGTTCATTATCTTTTGTCAATTGTGGTATATACTGTTGGAGTACGACACTCATTTTATGAAACAGTTCACTATTTTTAGTATCACGTAATTTTTTCCCGAGAGATAAAGCTATATTCAACGATTCCTTCTTAATCCTGATAAACGAAATACCTGCAACAGATATTCATTTTAGTTATCTTTCCTCTTAAAAAAATATAAATTTTATTCTTTATGTCGTTTACCTATACTATACTCCAGTATTTTGTTCAGTTTATCACAAATTTCACTCAGCATTTCTTTATCTCCAATCGATAATTCTGTACTATCCACTTTGAGCAAGGCAAGTTTATCCACAAATAAGTTAAGTGATGTCAACATCGCTACCTGTATAGACGTGGACTGCGTAGGAAATATTTT